ACACCAATGGGACACACATCAGAGAGTCAGAGTCGGAGATTCTTTATGGTCATTTGCACCACATGTGGTACATATGGTGGAGCGAAATTATGTACACAGTGTCCCAGTTACATCCAACAATAAAATGTATAAGTAAAAGAGTAATAAGATCTAAGATATGAACTAAGAAAAACATCAACTAAAAATACACTAAGCACTAATAGCATAAAAACATTACGTCGAACAGCAGCAAAAACATGAGCATGCGTCTGTGTGAGCAGATGAGCACGCATGAACACCTCGACATGAAATGGATCAGCAGCAACATGATATGATTTTTCACAGTGATTATTCTGATTAGAGATTCATGTGTCTAACAGCCCTAGGGTAGAAGCTGTTCCTCAGTCTAGTGGTTCTACACTTAATGCTCCTCAACCTCCTTTCTGAGGAGAGCGGGGCAAAAATTGTGTGTGCTGGGTAAGTGGGGTCCTTCATGATGCAGGTGGCCCTCATCCTGCATCTGGAGGTGTAGATGTCTGTGATGGTGGGGAGACTGACTTGAACAGTCTTCTGTGCAGCCTTCACCACTCTCTGCAAAGCTTTTCTTTCTGCAGCTGTGCAGCCTCCATGCCACACGTTCATGCTGGAGCACAGGATGCTCTCCACTGCACACCTGTAGAAGGAGGTGAGGACTGAGCTTCCCAGACCAGCTCGTCTCAGCTGCCTGAGGAAGTAGAGTCTCTGATGAGCTTTCTTGATCAGGCTGGTGATGTTGTTGCCCCAGCTGATGTTGTCATTCATGTGTACACCCAAGTACTTGTAGCTGAAGACCACTTCCACCGCAGAACCTCTTCTGATCAGAGGGGTGTAGGTGGGTTTGTTCCTTCTGAAGTCCACAATCATCTCCTTCATCTTCTTCACATAGATGTGAAGGTTATTCTCTTTGCACCAGCTCTCCAGGTGTTCCACCTCTTGCCTGTAGTTGGACTCATCATTGTATGTGATGCATCCCACCACCGCTGTATCATCTGCAAACTTTACAATTATTATGTTTATATGGACATAAGTAACCGGATCAAACGGCTGTTCGGAATAAAAACTCGTCATGTAATCACCCTGTTCAGATTATTTTTTTTCGTTTATTCAGCGTGATCCGAAATAATTTGTGATCAGAATGAAACGGGTGGTTTACGCCAATTCATAACCCAAATGGTGCGCATGTAAACACTTGATCTGTTCGTTTTTATCTGATGGTGAAAAACTGACCTGACTGCGCATGTGCGACTTTGCCACTTCCGCCTGGCTAATGTTAATAATATTAGCATATCGGGGAAGCAAAACTGGTTGGTGAGCGACACATTTCTACTAGAAACTTTGAAAGAGCTCAAAATGATCTGTATTACCTGTAGCTCAGTCAGGGAGTGCAGTAACATCTCCACCATCATTAAAACCTGTCGTGGGTCCATTTTGGGTGCTCAGGTTTGTTAACGTTCATCCCGGAAGTAAACCGGAAGTAGAACTTCTTCTTCTGTGTTTTGTTTTAAGGACAGTTTACCACTCTGCGCATGTCAGTACTTTTGTTCAGAACAAAGCCCGCTGCATGTAAACGCTCATCATGAACAGATTGTGCCCATGTAAACAATACATTTGAATTATTTAATCTGAAAACATTTCAATCCGGTCAAAAAATGTTGCACATGTAAACATAGCTAATGTGACAGCCTGGATGGGTAGGTGCACAATCATATTTGAGCAGAGTGAACAGGAGAGGGCTCGGCATACATCCCTGAGGGGAGCAAGTGCTGAGGGGTTATGGTGGAGGAAGAGAAGTTGTGGATCCTCACTGACTGTTGTCTGTTTGTTAAGAAGTCTATTACCCAGTTGCAAATGGAGGGGCTCAGTCCTAGTGTGGATAGTTTGTCCATCAGGGTTTGGGGGATCATGGTGTTGAAGGCAGATGTGCAGTCCACAAAGAGCACACGGACGTAGGAGTCCTTCTGCTCCAGGTGGGTGAGAGCAGTGTAGACCACAGAGGAGACATCCTCTGTTGATCGGTTCTCACGGTATGCATACTGATGAGGGTCCTCGTTGATGTTGATGGTTGTTTTGATGTTGGTCATGACCAGTTTTTCAAAGCATTTAGCAACTATTGGGGTGAGGGCCACTGGCCAATAGTCAATCAGACCAGTCACTGTAGAGCTTTTTGGGACTGGGATGATGATGGCAGTCTTCAGGCAGGTGGGTACTGTCTCCAGGGTAAGTGAGGTGTTAAAAATGTCTGCCAACACCTCACAGAGCTGAATGGCACATTCTTTCAACACTTTTCCGGGGATGTTGTCTGGCCGGTTGCCTTGTGCGGATTAATCCTCCTGAAAGTACTCCTTACTTCGGCTGAGGTCACGCTGAGATGCTCTTCATCCGGTGGTGAGGTGAGTCTGGTGCTGGGTGGTCTGTTCAGGTCTTCAAAGTGTGCATAGAACTTGTTGAGGGCATCAAGCAGAGATGAGTCTTTGGGGCATTGTTCAATCCTTCTTTTATAATCTGTGATGCACTTAATGCCCCTCCACATGCTCCAAGGGTCTTGTGAGGTGAATTGACCCTCGATCCTCTGTGCATATGTGGCCTTGGCCTTCTTAATACCAGCAACCAGCTCTTTCCTCTTCCTACTCAGCTCCTCTGAGTTTCCAGACCTGAAGGCAGTGTTCCTGGCTTCCAGTAGGGTGCACACCTCTTTATTCAGCCAAGGTTTTCTGTTTGGGTAGCTTTTAACATATCTGATAGTGGAGACGGTGTCGGTACATGTACTAATGTAACCCAGAACTGAGGATGCGTATTGGTCCAGATCAAGCGATCCTCCATTTTCAGCAGCTTCTCTGAAAACCTGCCGGTCTGTTCGTTCAAAACAATTTCTCGGTATGGGGCCACTGTCCTGGATCCAACATTTAACTTTCTTTTGTACCGGTCTGGAGCGTCTCAGCGGGGGGAGGTAAGCAGGTATCATTAAGACTGAGATGTGGTCTGACAGTCCTAGGTGGGGGCGGGGTATGGCTTTGTATGCATCTTTAACGTTCGTGTAAACACGCTCCAGCATGTTGTTTCCACTTGTTGGTATGCCCACATGCTGGTAAAAGCTTGGGAGACTGTCCTTTAGATTCACGTGATTAAAGTCTCTGGCTACCATGTAAAGAGCCTCAGGGTGTTTGTTCTGCAGAGAACTTAATATATCATGGAGCTCCTGCAAGGCGTCATTAGCATTAACATCTGGTGGAATGTAAACAACTGTGATGAAAGTCACTGTGAACTCGTGGGGTAGATAATGAGGCTGACATTTCACTGTTATCTGTTTCAAAGCCTTCGAGCATGAGCTTTTTACCACAGTACAGTTCGTGCACCAACTTTTACTCACGTAAATGCATACTCCGTCTCCCCGTGATTTCCCCGTTAGCAAGCTGCAGCGGTCCGCTCGAAAAAGAGTGTCAACTAGCTGGAAGACTGTATTCAGCATTTCACTTGTAATCCATGTTTCCGTGAGGCAAAGCACCGTACACTTCATCTCTTCTGAGGCATCCACTCTCAGACAAAGCAAATCCATCTTGTTGTCCAATGAATGGACGTTTGACAGAAAGAGAGACGGCATCGGGAGTTTTCTGGCTTTAGAGTTAGCTTGTAGCCTCACCATAACCCCCGCTCGGCGTCCTCTCCTCTTAAGCCGGGAGCAGTGCTTCCTCTTCTGCCTGTTGGAACGCCTCTCCTGCAGCTTCCAGGTAGATGACTTTAAGATCTGCATTCTGCCGAGCGTAGTTTTGAGTTTGTTGCTGATTTCTGCTATATTTCGTGGCAAATCTGCTCCTATTCTCATCAATTTGGTTTGGCTATAGTTCACATACATAAATCGTGCAGAGTCAGGCACAGAGTCAATATCAAAACTTCTAAAAACTGGGGTAGTACCAGGAGCCTGTGAAGCTACAGCTGCTCTGAGCGTGACCATCATTGCAACATCAGAGGCAATGAGGGGTTCAGTGTCTTGCCCAGGGACACTTGGGCATGTGACAGCTGGTAGATTCGAACCACTACCTCTTGCACTGGAAGACAACTGCTCTAACCTTGGCAGGATGACGGCTCGGTGATTAGCACCATTGCCTCACAGCAAGAAGGTCCTGGGTTCAATCCTCGGTTGGACCTGGTGTCTTTCTGTATGGAGTTTGCATGTTCTTTTTGTGTTTGTGTGGGTTTTCTCCGGGTACTTCGGTTTCCTTCCACGGACCAAAAACATGCATGTTAGTCTGCCTTCAGGTCCAGGCCTCCCTTGCAAAAGAGATCTGTGATCTCAATGGGATTTGCCTGGTTAACTAAAGGTTAATAATAATAATAACCACTCAGCCACAGTCGCCCCAGAAATGTAGTGTTCTCTTGTCCTCTAGCTGTTGAGCTGGGCTGATTTGTCCTTATGCCACCAAAAGGATGGATTGCAGCCCAGGTAGCTCTGACTTCTTGTGCTAATAATAACTAAAGAGATCAAATGAGGTGTTAAAATAAATAAATAAATAAAAAGTAGCCTACTCTGTTGTTTAAATGCATTTTAAGTGAGATCTGATTTCAAGTGATCACTAAAGAAGTCATAAACATGCATTTTAACACTGACTGTGAAACGGCTGACCTTGTGCGAACAGATCAGCAAAGATGCACGTTATTTCCAAATATCAGAATGATCAAAAAGTTAGGATTAGAGTTAAATGGCAATTGTGGCTGTACTTATCATCCAAGCTTTATAAATGCATTATAAATACTAATACAATAAATAAACAAGGCCTCATGCTTTTTTAAGTTAAAGAAAATTCTGACTTTTGGTTGATCATTTAGGTGATTAGGGTTTGTCCCCTGGAGAAAGTGAATGCTTCATAAAATGTAATGCCAAATTATCAACCATGTCACATTGTTTCAACTCTATATCAATGCTGATTTTTTTGTAACACAATGGTTAATGTCTCCCCACCCCCCCACCCCCACACCACCCCATGCAGGATACATCTTTGACAGATCCAGATTGCCCGGCGTGTGGATCTTCTTTGAGTGAGCGAAATCGTACTGAAAGTGTGACACCTGTGAGGATGAGGGCCACCCTACTGCTCTGTCTCTTAGGGGTCTTGGAGGCTCAAGCCTTCAGGTTTGTCCGTGATTCCCAGAGTGTGCCAGAAGCTTCAGAACACTCTACAAACATGTCTGTCCCATTTCCACCCTCCCAGCCAGGCCTCCCTCGGAACCCTTACCCCCCCATGTGTGTAAAGCCGATAGAGATCAAAAACGCCTTCAAATATGTGAACACTATCATATCCTGCCTGATCTTTGTGTTAGGGATCATTGGAAACTCAACGCTGCTCAGGATTATATACAGAAACAAGTGTATGAGAAATGGGCCCAATGTGTTGATTGGCAGCCTGGCACTGGGAGACCTGCTTTATATTATAATTGCTATCCCCATCAATGTATATAAGGTAAGCAAATTTACCATTTGTATCTGATTTTGCCTAATTTAGTTTGCAAATCTTTTATGTTTTTCAAGGTAAAACATGCAATGTTGCTATGGTGTAATCGTCTTGTTTTAATTGGTGGTGATTTGTCCTTACATGACGTTTCTACAATATATCTATTGCGTTCACCAGCATCCTTTTGTCACAATTCTTACATGAGTCTGCAGTAATGGTTGAACGTCAGCCTTCTGTTAGAATCTGTAGCCATACATTTACTCATCTTCTTCTGTTTTCTTCATCTACAAGTAAAGTCCAAGTTCAAACAAAACCCACAAGAACACCTTGCACATCAATTTCTCCCAAGTCCATGTTTGTGAAATGCGCAAGTAGAAAGTGTTATGTCACTTTCTACTTGACACTCTCTAGACACAGTACACAACTGATGTTGAAAAAGGATGTGTAGAGTTTGGTCCTCATATGTATACTCTAGCAACACAAGATGTAAAAACCAAATGAAATTAAACAATTTGGGATTTGCACTGTAGATAAATCAAACAAGCCAAGTAGTGGAGATGCATTTTGCACATACAGTAAAGCCCAAATCTTAATTGAAAGATCTTGAATGAACTATTAACAGGTGTGGCCAAATACCTCTGCCCATATATATAACTAGAGTGCAAATCATGAGTGAAAAGCACTTAGATTGGATGCCTAGATCAGTAGTCCTCAAATGGCGGCCCACGGTCCACATCTCGCCCGCGAGCCGTATGTCTGGACGCCACCTACTTTCTGTCTGCACCCTGCGGTCAGTCTGGATCCTGATTTGGGAAAACACAAAAGGTCTTGAATCTAAATCCTGCATCTTGATCCGGCCCAGATTTTCCAGGTCTGAAAACAGTTTACTGTGACTTTGGTTTGGCTAGCATGTGTTAAAGAAGTGACAACAATTTAATCAACTGTTACTGAGAGATCTAAAAAAGTTAAATCTGGTCTTCTGGACATTCAAAAAAAACAAAACAAAAAAAAAATTGTAGAAATGTTTCGTCTTTCATCCGAAAGACTTCTTCAGTCTGAGATGCTGTATTCAGCTCAATCTTATAAATAGCACCTTCTCAGAGTGGATCAACCAGTTTGTTGTTGACAGCCAAAACCAGCTGCTCACATGATCAAGAAGAACCATCAGCCTAACGATGGATCATTAGCACCCTGATGGCTGTTTGCTATACACAGGGGGCTGAGTGATACTAGCAATAACGGCATTGTAAGAGGGGGACAGTTGAACTCGGAGGCCTCCACCCCTGTTTAATGATGGACGGTTTCTTTTCACAAAGATGGATTCCTTTACTCCTCTCTCAAACCTTCATCCCTACCATCATAATGTGGGTACCGAGCACCAATCAGTTCCTGAGGCATTAAATCCTAAGGCTTGGTGATTGTAACTTGGTGCTGTGACACCCAAACTGGAAGAGTGACTTTAACAGATCTTAGGAACAACCTTAGATAGTTCCATCTCATATTTGTTCTCTGTCCAGAAGAGTGCAGTCCTAGGAACAACTAAGACACCAGGCTGGTGGAGGGCCCGAGTTTGAAAGTGAAGTAGAATTGCTCACTTTGAAGAGTAGGGTATTAATGATAGTAATCATTTTTGTTGATGATAAATTACATCTTTTCTTCTTCTCGTAACTAATTAGAGTGATTTTTTTTCCAGATTTTATCAGTGAAGAATAGCCCTCCATTATAGCATAGCTAAAATTAGTTTTTGAAAGGTATTTTTTAGGATAAAAAAAGACACCTAAATGAACCTCTGTTTCTGGTATTAAGAGTAATTTTCCTGTCTCCTCCTGGTATTTACTTTTTTCTCCAGCTAATTGCTGAGGACTGGCCGTTTGGTGTCTATGTGTGTAAGCTGATGCCATTCATTCAGAAAGCCTCTGTGGGAATAACGGTTCTCAGCCTATGTGCCCTCAGCATTGACCGGTGAGCATGCATGCACACTCGGTGTTGACAATAAACTTTTTAAATGATCATTGACTGTGATTATTCTTTCTATAGCTACCATGCAGTGACATCGTGGAGCCGGGTGAAGGGAATGGGGATCCCTCTGTGGAAAGCAGTGGAGGTGACTCTGATCTGGCTGGTTGCTGTAGTTCTGGCGGTCCCTGAGGTGTTGGCGTTTGACATGATGGAGATGTCCTACAGAGGCAACAAGCTGCGTGTATGCCTGCTGCATCCAGAACAAACCACCAGTTTTATGAAGGTAAAAGCAATGCCTTTCCTCGGTGTCTAACTTGTAATCACCCCTGAAAAATGAACAGAAGATGAAAGTAATTTTCAGTTCAATTCAGTCAGTTTTATTGTCCATTACCCATTCATTCTGCTTGTTCCAAAGTCAGGTCGCAGAGGCAGCAGCTTGAGCAGGGAGATTCAGGCATCTCTTTCCACAGCCACCTCTTCTAGCTCTTCTGGGAGGACAAAGGCATTCCAAAGTCAATCAAGAGACAGTCTCTCCAGCGTGTCCCTGGTCTACCCCGGGGTCTCCTCCCAGTCGGACATGCCCGAAGCACCTCCCTGGGGAGGTGCCCAGGAAGCATCCTTACCAGATGCCCAAACCACCTCAACTGGCTTTTCTCAATGTGGAGGAGCAGTGGTTCTATGCCAAGTCTCTCCTATATAACTGAACTTCTTACCCTATACCTAGGTAAGGGTGCTTCTTGGGTGCCTCCCTAGGGAGATGCTTCAGACATGTCCGACTGGGAGGAGACCCCGGGGAAGACCCAGGACATGCTGGAGGGACTATGTCTTTCGGTTGGCCTGGGAATGTCTTTAAATCCTCCCAGAAGAGCTGGAAGAAGTGGCTGTGAAAAGAGATGTCTGGGCCTCGCTTCTCAAGTTGTTGCCCCCATGACCCGACTTCGGAACAAGTGGAAGATAATGAATGAATGGATGGATGGATGGGTCTGCTGCCTCAACAACATGTGTGGTGGCTCACATAAAAATGCAGTGGGACATATGTATGTTGCCCCTCTTCCACTTGACAAACGACCTGCTACAAAGGTGCCACATGCGACTGTTCCTTCCGGTGAGCGAACGCTGGCGCATCCTGGCTGCCGCTGCTCGTCGTGCTTTTTTGCTTTTTTCTGTTTTATTCAATCCTTCCTGCCTTTTCCACTACACCAAGTCTCTTATCCGTCTCAATATCAGCCATGCGGTTCATTAGGATTTACCTGCTGCCTGCTCTGCTTTGGACTCTCCAGCTGCTCATCCACCACCACCCGGCGTCTGGTCTTCTCCATTACTCAGCGGTCGAGCTCCTTCGCCTTCGTTTCCTACCAGCCATGCCACTTGTGCTCCCTCTTCAGGACATTGCCTTCCATCCTCGCCGGAGATACATTCACCGTGGCTCCTGCCGTAGACTCCACGCTGACAAGTCTAACCCCATAAACTCCATCTGGTCTGACTCTCACCATTCTACACGCCGCAATACTCGGGCCGATAACAGTAATATCATGTTAGCTAGCCTAGCTCGGTCGGCTAATGCTTCGGTCGCTACCAACTCCTCCTCCGTAAAGTTTGGCCTTCTGAACTTTCGCTCACTCACTGGCAAAAGTCAGCTTATTCAAGACCTAATATCCGACCGTAAGCTGGATTTTATTTGTCTAACAGAAACGTGACAACAACAAAATGACTTTTTCCACCTGAATGAATCTACCCCATCGGGGTTTGTTTACATCGCCAAATCCCGCAAGTCCGGCCGCGGAGGAGGTCTCGCGATAATTCACCGCGAGAACTGGAAGGTCACGCCGGTTCACACACCTCCCTCTCCTTCCTTTGAGCACACTTTGTGTCTACTCTCCGGCCCTACCCCCACCATTGGTGCCACTTTCTACCGTCCGCCCAAAATCAACAACTCTTTTATAAATGACTTTGCTACTCTAATCGCCCATCTCTCAGCTCTTTCACCCAACATTATTCTGCTTGGAGATTTCAACATTCATATGGATGAAGACAACAACCCCCTCACCAGAGACTTCACATCCTGCCTCGACAGCTGTGGCTTCCAGCAGCTCATTAACTTTCCAACCCACATAAAGGGCCACACTTTGGACTTATTATGCTGCTCTGGACTCTCTCCTCTTAACTGTTCTTCTGATGAACTTCCATTTACTGATCACCTCATGATTTCATTCAGTGTCAATCTTAAATTTTCTTCAGAGAAACCTCAACGCACTCTTTCCTTCCATAATATTAAGAATATCAACCATGGCATTTTTTGGTCTCATATTAATAATACCATCTTCACCTTCAATTCTTTTAACCCAGATGACCTTGTCACATTCTACAATAACAGCCTCACCAACATTCTTGACTCTGTCGCTCCTCTGAAAACCCGGTCTGTCTCCTTCTCCAACTCTGCACCCTGGTTCACTCCAGAACTCCGTTCTCTGAAATCCAAAGGTCGGAGGTTGGAGCGACTCTATAAGAAATCCGGTCTCTCAATTCACAAGGAACTCTATGCGAACCGCGTCATCCAGTATAAGGACAGTATTTCTCAAGCCAAATCCAGCTACTTCTCTGACATCATCAATTCCAATGTTGGCAATTCAAAGACTTTGTTCTCTCTCCTTAACCGTTCAGTCTCATCTCCTAACTCATTACCTTCTCACATGGTTTCCACAGAATTTTGCAACTCTCTGATGTCCTATTTCAATGAAAAGATTCTTTCAATTCATAAACACCTTGGACCTAATACCGCCCCCAGCATCTATGTTGAAGTCCCCCTCCCTCCCTCCCCTTCTCTGTCTTCTCCCTCCCCTCTGCTCATGACATTGCTGACATTATCAACAAGTCTAAGTGCTCATCCTGTCAGCTCAATCCATTTCCCACAGTTCTTGTTAAATCCTGTCCCCCGTCTCTGCTCCCCATCATCACTAACATAATCCACTCCTCCCTAACCTCTGGCACTGTTCCCACAGCTTTCAAATTTGCGGCCATCACCCCCATCATCAAGAAACCAGGTCTTGACTTTACCAACTTCAGTAATCTTCGTCCAATCTCTAATCTGCCCTTTATTTCCAAAGTTCTTGAAAAAGCCGTTGCTAGTCAACTTCACTCTCACCTATCCAACAATAACATTTATGAAGAGTTTCAATCTGGTTTTCGCCCCCACCATAGCACCGAAACGGCTCTAATAAAAATAACTAATGACCTTCTTCTTGCTGCTGACTCTGCTCTTCTGTCTATCCTCATTTTACTGGATCTAAGTTCTGCCTTCGACACAATCTGTCATTCTATCCTCCTCAACAGACTAACCTCCATTGGCATCTCAGGTACTCCGTTAGACTGGTTCAAATCTTATCTCTCTGACCGCACTCAATTCATTCAGCTCAAACCCTTTCGTTCCCAGTCTTCTTCCGTCTCCACAAGTGTCCCCCAAGGCTCTGTCCTCGGACCCCTTCTCTTCATCATTTACCTCCTTCCTCTAGGTCACATCTTCCATAAATTTGGTGTCCATTTTCACTGTTATGCTGATGACACACAGCTCTACTTGTCAACAAAACCAAACTCCACCCACCTACCCTCCATCCTCACCGACTGTCTCAATGAGCTAAATCACTGGTTTTCTATCAATTTCCTACAACTAAACAGTAACAAAACAGAAATCATTCTTGTCGGTACCAAAAACTCTCTTTCAAAATCAGAAAATCTTCTCATCCCCCTTAACAACTCTCTGCTATCCCCCTTGCCTCAGGTCAAGAGTCTTGGTGTCATCCTCGACACCACTCTCTTCTTCACTTCACACATCAACAATGTCACTCGGTCTGCCTATTTCCATCTCCGAAATATTAACCGTCTCTGCCCTTCTCTCATACCCCGCTCCACAGCCATCCTTGTTCACAGTCTTGTGACTTCTCGGATTGACAACTGCAACTCCCTTCTTTATGGCCTCCCCACCAAATCTCTCCAGAAGCTGCAATTGGTCCAGAACTCAGCTGCCCTTGTCATAACTCAAACCTCATCCTATAACCACATCACTCCTGTCCTGCAGCAGCTCCACTTGCTCCCAGTTAAATCATGCATTGTCTTCAAAATTCTTCTTCTCACTTTCAAAGCTATCCACAACCTTGCCCCTCTGTACCTATCTGACCTCCTACACATCTCCATCCCCTCTCTCTCTCTCAGATCCTCCTCTTCACTACACCTCCATGTACCCTCTGCCCGCCTCTCCACCATGGGGAGCAGGGCCTTCACCTGCTCTGCCCCTCATCTCTGGAACTCTCTACTCCCTGACTTAAGAAACACCACCTCTCTTTCTATATTCAAGACTTCTCTATATTCAAGACTGCTCTGAAAACACATCTCTTTAGACTCTCTTATCCTTAACTTTGCTGTATGTATTTTATATTCTTTATGCATTTTATATTCTGTATGTATTTTATAGTCTTTATGTATTTTAATATTCTTTATGTAATTTATTCCTGTTGATCTTTGTTCTTACTGTAAAGTGTCCTTGGGTGTCATGAAAGGCGCTTTTTAAATAAAATTATTATTATTATTATTATTATTATTGTTGTCCTTGAAAGCATGTACTGTGGGTGCTGAACCATGGAACCATCACTAGACATCTCCCACTGGCCATACAGGAACATGGTGCAGCTCTGGCAAAGTCGACATAGAGATGTTCACCTCCAGGAAAACCATACACTATCATACGTTTTTCTCCACACAGGATGTGCATGCCTCTCTCGCCCCACCAATGTGCATTTGTGCATTATCAATGGTTCATGAATGAGGTTCATAAAAGACCACCACACAAAACACTGGCACTACAGTGGGACCTGTTGCTGGTTTTAGATGCACTGTTTGATGCACCTTTTGAACCTTTAGAACTGGTCAATATGAATATGCTGTCCTATAAAACAACACTTTTTTTGGCAGTGTGCTTAGCAAAATGTGTGAGTGGCATCCATGCACTTTTATTTCAACATTTGTGTAGCTAGTTTGTGCAAGACTGTTCCAGTTGTGTTGAAACACAGCAATGAAGGCTACCTATGGGACAGATCCATTTGGCAGTCCACAGACTGACAAAAGTCCTCTGGATGGGGGATGAAACATTTATTCACTTACATAAACGGGTCCAGATGACATGATTTAATAATTTTTGTTGTTATCTACCTGGATGATTGAGCTTATAAAACTTATAACCATTGTTACTTGAGAAATGAGGTACAACACAAGATAGCTTCTCAAAGCTTCAGAAGCTCGGTAAAGTGCATTGTAGATTAAGGAAATGAGACCATGTAGCATTTTTATAGCCCAGAAGGGTGGGGCCGACTGTGCATGGAACAGTCTCATTGGCCTTGACAGGTGTGTTGAAAGAAACATTTTCAGATTGGGGCAATCCCTATATTCATGTTGTACCTTGATTCCCTCACTCAGAGAACATTGGTTGTTTTCATAACCTCCAGTTATGACCAGTGTATATTTCACATATTAGTACTGCACTAAAAACTTGTGGCAATGTATTTATTGATGTATATTTTTTAATTTTGTCATTTAAAGCAAGCCACGTTAAGCCAGTGATGTGATGAGAAAGTGGTCATCATTTTGTTTCTTCATGAATTTGTTCTTTTTCCAGTTCTACCAGAAGGTCAAAGACTGGTGGCTGTTTGGCTTCTATTTCTGTCTCCCTCTCGCGTGTACGGGGATTTTCTACACACTCATGTCTTGTGAGATGCTCAGTCGAAAAAAGGGCATGCGCATTGCACTCAACGACCACATGAAACAGGTATGAATGCAGAATGACAGTGGATGTTATCTGAAAAGTGGATAGTGTAAATTTTAATGGCTCTTATTTAGACAGTATTTAAGAGACATTAAAGGTCCAATGTTTAAATAGGTCAGTACTGTCTTGTACTGGCACTTCTGATTTTTTTATTAACCTACCATCATGCTTTATAGCGTGCTACGACTTCACATAAACTTGCTGATACTTAGCATCAGTTTCATTAGTTGTAAAAAAAGACTGATTCATATAAACTACATTCCCCAGAGGACACCAGCTTTGCATTGTTGGAGTATAGTTCTCATTTAGTACTTATTTTAAAATTAACCAGACAGTGACACTCAAAACTGATTCAAAGACACCCAAATCTACAAATGAACAGAATGTGCTTCGACAAAGACCACTGCAGGTCATCAGCATCAGAGTTTACAGCATCAACGTGTATTCAAGAAACAGTACGGACCACTCTGTGTTTGTTTTTGTTGAGTTGTGAACATCTTGGAAAATCCAAGGATTTTGTGCAAAAAATAAAATGCAAAAAATAAAAAACAGGAAGGCAAGCAGTTATTGTTTTTGGCATGGTTGCAGGAACTGACTGACCTAACGGACATCTCAGTGATTTGTGTAGTGCTCTCCGGTTGGCTCCCTATACCAGTGCAACCACTCATTTGGCTTGTTCCAAAATGGCAGCTATAAACTTTGAAATTTATCATAAATCTGCTTAAAAATAAACTCTATTTTTTCAAAGTGAAATTTCTCTAAAAGCTACCCAGCACAAATATGATTTGTTCTTAACAGTTCAGCAAAACTTTTGCTTCAGACGATGTGAACTGTTGCTTGAAGGAAATCTTTTCTGTTTGTGTTTGGTGTAGCGGAGAGAAGTGGCCAAGACGGTGTTCTGCCTAGTGTTGATCTTTGCATTCTGCTGGCTGCCCCTTCATCTCAGCCGTATTCTGAAGAACACGGTCTACGACCAAAACGACCCCAACCGCTGCGAACTTCTCAGGTAGAAATGTCACACAGCTGCTGTGAAAACCTAATGAGAGCACATTGTTCTCGTTTGTTTGACTTCCTGCTGTCCTTTCATTAAACCCTTCCACCCTGTCAGTTTCCTCTTAGTGATGGATTACATCGGAATCAACATGGCCTCTTTAAACTCGTGCATTAACCCAATCGCCCTCTACTTTGTCAGCCAGAAGTTTAAGAATTGTTTCCAGGTAAGAGCAAACAATCTGACTTTAGTTAAAAACGACCTTAAATAATTGGAATTAGCTGATGTGTTATGTTGCAGTCTTGCCTGTGCTGTTGGTGCTACAGAACATCTCCTCTGGATAAGCGGGGCTTTAGTGGACACTGGAAGGGCTCATGCCACGGAAATGGACTTGACCGCTCCAGCTCCCGCTCCAGTCAGAAATATACAAGCTCTTCATAAACACACACTCCTCACTTTCCTCCGCTATCAAACCACAATCCCATCAGTTCATGGAGAAACAGTGCCATCACTGCCGACAAACTGAAGCTCAGACCTGAGTCATGAGTGGAAAATGAAGTCCTTCCTTCAGAGGTCGCTTTAGACTGAAACACTCAATGATTAACCCCAACAGGTGAAAAGGACTGTACCTGTTCAGGCTGTAACAATACAACATGCACAAGCTATGGTTAAAACAACGCTGCAGAAACATGTTCATGCCCTGACACTGAGACGGACCCGGAGACCTAAAGCCTCGGGATGGACCAGAAACATGAAAGTTCATTCAAGCCACTTGTAAACTAATGCACAGATATATTTACATGGAGACTGCGGAACTGTGCATATATCTAACTCTTGTGCCTCATATATGAATAAGCATGGATCTGTACCTTTTGAAGTTTTAATACCTCACAGGGAAATGCTTGAGATCAACTGAGATGTTGACTTCTCTGAGGCTCAGAGGACTGACACCTTTAGGAGTCTATGCCTCAAAAACTGTTTTTTTTTTTTTTAAAGAAGATGTCAAAAATCTGTAGCATTTTTCACCAAGTTATGCACGTAGCAACAGTTGTTATTATGGGCCCCTCTGTTGACCTTTGAGTCATGTGGAGAACAGAAACATTTTATCACTGCTTTGAGTCAGCTGTTGTACACAAACTGTAAAAAATCACCAAATGATCACTGCACATCGCACATTAAGCTATCCTGATGCCTGCTCAATAATCCAGGTAGAAAATTCTAACAAAGTTAAGTCAAGTCCTCTGGACAGATCAATCAATCAATCAATCAATGTAACTTGTCCACAACATTTCATGAGATGGAGATTTATCTTTGGCATCTGGATCATACATACAAAACAACACAAGTTAAAAATGCCATACATTTTTTAAAAAGCTTTGCTAACCCAATAAAAATCAATTCTAAAATACATGAAACATTAAAAATATTAAAACAATTCAGCAGACAATGAATGGTTTGTCATGTGAGGCTACATTTAAATAAGACCCTATTAAGGACACTCACAGCAGAGGGAACAAATGACTTTTTGTACCCATTTTTCTTTACCAGAGGAACCAGCAGTCTTCTGCCAGAGGGTACCAACCTGAATAATGGTTGCAGTGGATGAGTTGGGTTATTGTAAACCTGTATTGCCTTTTTTTCTAGAGCCTGACTGTGCAGGTCTGTTGTATTTGTTGATGACCAATGAATTTACTACCTGTTTGACCACGCAGGACAACTGGTTCCTGTCTCTCGCTAGGAGGTTCCCATACCATGAGACAATATTAAATGAAACAACACTTTCAACCAGTGGCCTGCAAACTAATTACAAAGTATTTTTGCTAGCATTAAAGCTCCTTGGCTTATATAGAAGGTGGAGATGCTGACTGGCTTTTTTGTAAATACAGTCAGGGTTGGGCTGAAAAACCAACTTATCAATTATTGTTCAAAAGTATTTAAATTTGCTTACCTGCTCTGCTTCCTGCCCTTTTATAGCGGATGGTCTGAATACAGGTCTTGTGCTGGCTGCTCCCCATCTACCTCCCAGACAAATCTCTTTTTTTTTTTACTGACATTATGATCCAGAAAACTGTCATCAAACCAGGCAGAGAGCTGTTCTATGAGCTGGAAGTAGGATGGACTATTTGTGTCTTTCAGACCAGCAACTAGGGCCATATCATCAGCATATTTAATTAATGTGAAGTCATTATGTCACAACTCATGTATGTATAAAGAGAATAAAAGTGGTGATAGCATACAACCTTGTGGAACACCAGTGTGCAAAACCCTGCAGTCAAATAGTGTTGGCAACACTGCCTTGTTGGGCTCTTCCTCTCAAAAACTCAATTTCAGAACAGCTGTTTCAAACAATGTAACAAAAAACACACTAGGAGCTTGTGTTCTCCATTATATACAGTATAAACGACAGATATGATGATACAAACATGCTCCAAATTTTGTAAATGTTCTTTAAAATCATAAGCTATTTAATTTGTTTTTAAAGAACAAAGGCTTGTTCCTGGTTGTTTCATGGTGTTAGCTCTGCAATTCATGAATAAAACGTGCAGACTGAACACAACAGCAGGAACAAGGTGAACATTTTATACAACTCTTCTTACAAAGTCATTAGATGCATGAGTGCACGGATTAAAAAAACTAAAACAAAACTATTGCTCAAACAATACAGAACCAAAACGTTCAAGTAAAATGTAAAAATCTGGATTTTTGTGTTTTCAGCTAAGTGGCATAGCTAACTTAAAAAATATATATATATTTTTTTAAACTAACATTTTCTAAACATGTTCTCCAGTCCTTTATCATAGAAAAATATACGAAACTTAGTTATACCTAGAAAACCTGCATTTTACATTTTCATGGACGGAAATTCATCAAGGGCAGTACAGTGGCGCAACTGGTAGAGCTGCTGCCTCTCAGCAAGCAGGTCCCTGGTTCAAATCCCAGTCCAGGGGCCTTTCTGGGTGGAGTTTGCATGTTCTCTCCGTGCATGTGTGGGTTTTCTCCAGGTACTCCTGTTTTCTCCCACAGACTAAAAACATGCATGTTAGGCTGATTGGTAACCTTGAATTGTCCCTAGGTGTGAATGATTGTGTGTCTCGTTTGATTTTGTTTCATTTAGAGTCCATCCGGACACAAAGCTTCTGATTATGGTGAGGATGTTTGATTTCTGTGAAATGTAGGAATGTTTCCTCTAAATTCAGTTCATGTTATCAGAGGGCCAGTTTAAACCTTTCATTGTTTCCAAAAGATTAAACACAACACGAGTAGGTTGCTGCTAGTTGTTTAGTCAGATGATGAGAATAGCTCTGCCAGGGTCAACTGTGGTTCTGCTGAAGCGCTGCGAAGACAATCACAGGAAGTTAAAGTGGTAACAACATTTGTGGAACAGCTGGACTTCCTGTTACCTCCCATCTTCAGAGTGGGACAACATCACCTCTCTTCCTCTTCAGGAACAAACATGGAGCGTGAAGCTGCTGCAGGAACGTTGGCATCCTGCCTAATTAGAGTTTAAGGTCCGCTCATGACCAAAAGTCAAAATACTGTAGTAAAATAAAGCAACATTATAAAGAAAAGAGCAAGAAATATAGAAAAAGGATTCAATATATTAAACATGAGGTTAAAGACGGCATCACTCTGATGAACGCTCATAAATGTATAGAAATCCACCAGTGTGCACTGCCTATCCAGCCCATTACTGATATGGTGGAGAAACTAAGATGGTGTCCAAAATGGGCAACTGCTCACTGCCAACACTAGTTACCATTACTATTTACTAACTATTGAATTATCATTAAGCCCAACTGAATCTGTGTCACAACTTATTTTTAGTGCTGACAAATTCTCTGAACATGAGCATTCCTGCAGTCAACAGCCAACTGCACACTCCCTCAAAACCTGCGACATCTGTGGCATCGTACTGTGACACAACTGCACATTTTAGCCTTTTATTGTGGGCAGCCTAAGGGTCTCCTCATCATGCTGTCTAATCAACATCTGGAAATGCCACACCTGTGAGGTGGATGGATTATCTGAGCAAAGAAGTGCTCACCAACACAAATATAAACTAATTTATGAACAATATTTGAGAGAAAAAAGTATTTTGTGTTCATAGAAGAAGTCTTACAGCTTTGAGTTAAGCTCATGAAAAATGGGAGCAAAAACAAAAGTGTTGTCTACATTTTTGTTCTATTTATAATTCATAATTAATGTTAATTTCATGTAGCAATCATGTGAACGAGGTTTTATTTGAGGAGAATATACTGGCTATAACTAATAATGATCTAAACGAGCCCTGAAGCTCTTAATGACAGTATTTAATGAATAACTTCCAATGAACTCGAGACGTATCAGCTGGTTTGATAATTATGACTTCAAGAGTTGATGAATTTGTAACCAACTTTTAATGTATTCGCTGCTATTTGCAATTTATTGCAGTGATCTGTGGCTAATCTATTGCTAAGTTAAAAAAGTTATTTAAGAATTCATTCAGAGCAAATAATGAATTGTTGCAGCTTGTTCTGTTTAATAATTTGTAGTAAAGTGCAGCCTGATTCAGCCTGCAGCACAGAGTATCTGCCACAGAAGCTCCGATCAGTAACTGACAGCCTGTAGGCCACTTTTAAACAGTTAGATTGTTAAATGTTGATCACATCCTTGTTAAGGTAAAAGCGATCAAATCTGCTGACTTGTGAAATAATACATGTTTTCCATTTTATCTTCTTGTACTACACCCATAGAGCACACTGATTTATGGCATTTTTTTCATTTTATAAACATTCTAGCATTATTATTATATTACATTTTATTGCTATTTTGGTCATTTTTTACATAATCAGCTCTTAAAGCTAATATTTACCAAATGCCAACTGCAGACTATCTAAAAGGGCTATTGTGCTGCACTTTTCTTAGACCTGTCTAAAGCTTTTGACACTGTGGATCATAACATCTTGTGTCATAAACTCTCAGAAATTGGCTTCTCAGTTCACACCATTGGTTGGTTCTCTAACTATCTTTCAGATCGGAGGCAATGTGTTCAACACAATGGTACTTCCTCCAGTTATTTAACGGTTAACAATGTTGTACCACATGGCTCAGTCTTAGGACCCACCCTCTTTACAATCTACATAGGTAATGTAGGTCAGAGCATCCCTGATGCATCCTTACATTTCTATGCTGATGATAGTTATTTATTGTCAAGCTAAAACAATTGATAAGGTTTTCCAGCTTTTGCAATCAGCTTTTGACATCATCCAGATTTGTTCAGTCTCAAACGTGTCCTAAACGCTGACAAAGCCAAAGGGATGTTGTTTTCAATCAGGAAGTTGGTCCCAGCAGTTCTTCCTTTGATTTTATCCTTGAATGGTGCTTCTATTGAATTAGTCAATTCCTACAAATTTTGGGGTATCTTGGTCGATTCACATCTCTCTTTTAAGCTCCACGTGGAAAACTTGGTAAGGAAACTGAAAGTTAAACTGTGTTTCTTTTTCAGAAATAGATCCTGTCTAACCCTGAATGCTAGGAAACCTTGTAACTGTAACCTTCCTTCCCTCCATTGATTATGGTGACATTATTTACATGAACACTCCTACAAGCTCCCTGCAGATGTTGGATGCTGTTTATCATGGTGCACTAAGATTCATAACTGGCTGTAACTACCGTACTCACCATTACACCCTGTATTCACTGGTTAACTGGACATCATTAACTTCATGCAGACTCTCTCACTGGTACATTTTCATCGTTAAATCACTTCTTGATCTGTTGCCTTCATACATCTCCTCCTACAT